CGTCTTGAAGTGGTGCTTGCTGCGGGGGGGGGTGCGGGGGGTCCGGGGGGGGGGGGAAGGATGTTCCGTGCACTTTTTTTTCGTATCTCGAAAAAAGTTCACAAGTTGAGTCCATTTTTCCCTAGTAGAGCGGTTTGTAAGTCGAAATGTTTGTATCTAAAGCCGTTTGTAAGTTGAGAGTTGACTGTATTGTAGTCAGGTAATGTCACTTTATGTAGCAAGAATATTCAATGTGGAGAAAATATTACAAACTGAAATCTCTTATACTTCCTTCTAGGATATTACCGGCATCTTTGATCAAGAAAGTATTTAAATTTTCCAAATACCTCTATGTATGTATGTATGTATGTATGTATGTATGTATGTATGTAGTGGTGCCTCGCTTAACGAGCGCACCGTATAACGACGAATTCGCATAGTGATCCGTTTTTTTTGGATCGCTAATGCGAAGGCATACCGACAGTTCCAATGGGTGAAAATCACTTAGCGACCATCAGTAAGCGTTTCGCTTACCGATTTTCACTTAGCGATTTTTTTCAATCAGCTGTTCGGCAGTTCCAAAATGGCCGCCAGACGCACGAAATGGCAGTGCGCAGCGTTTTCGCGCCCTGCCCTCGCTTACCGAGGGCGTGAAAATGGCGGCCGGATGGGGGAAACATTGCAGAACTGAGTTTTGTGCCCAATGGGCTTTTCCGTTCCGTATAGCGATGTTTCCCCATAGCGAAGGTTAATCCAGAACGGATTAACCTCGCTATGCGGGTCACCACTGTATATGTACATCTATGCATATACATATGTATATATTCAGAGGTCCACTGCTAAGCATATATGTCTCACATTCTAATACATCTTTGTCTTTGCTAATTGTGAGCACCTACTAAGACAAGTAAGTTTGAAAGTAGTTTCCAACCACTTGAGAGGGTATGAATTCTACTTTAACATTTTACTCTAAGTATGAAACTTTATTGTTGGGAGAACTGGGAAACATTGCTCTAGAGTATGACATTGTGCTCAAGTACATCCAATTCAACTGTTATATTTTTAAACAAGTTATTCTAGTATCTGCACATAGAAAAATTGGAGATATTAGTATAAATCTGACATCCATCTGGAAACACACGTTAAGGCAGCAGTACCTTTGTCAGGACAATCACAGATGTCAAACAGTAGTGACCATTTTCTGAGTTCTCCAAAACTCTTCATCAGAAAAGCCATCAAAATACCACTGTACATTTTAGGAGAAGGTTATATGAAAAGGGAAACAGCGCAACAGGAAGCCTCCATGGAGCCGGTGGCAGCGGCAAAATTGTGAATGGACAGTCCAGCCCCATGGGGCCACACACTCATTATTTCCACCTGTGCAGGGATGAATACGAATACCCCCAACTCTAATTACATTCCAAAACCTTGCTAAGTTTCCACCAACCACACATCCAAAACCAGAACAGGCAGTGCTGACAATCACCATTGGACACTGTCTAGGTAGGGACACCCCACCACACTACTGTGGAAAACACAGCCAGAAAAAAAATGCAACACAGCATCCAAAGATCATGGCTTTAAATGACTAAGCTTTAGTGAAAAGAAACCACCCTTAACATATGCTGATACTGATTATGCAGTATATTATGCAGAATATAGATTCTGCCAGCATGAGTGCAGAAAACAAAAGGCATCATAAATCTTAAAAAATGTATAGGAGGTGAGGAACTTTTGGGGGGGATTTAAATTAGAGGAATCACAGTTCAATGCACACAGTAAGTACTTAAGAACTTACGATACTTTATGCCATAACTGCCTTATACTGCCAACAACATTGCAAGACTCATCAGTGAAAAGATCCCCATGATTTCAAATGATTTACAGTGGTGCCTCCCTCGACTTACGAATGTCCCTACTTATGAACATTTTGACTTACAAAAAGATCTGGTTGCAACATTTTGCTTCGACTTAAGAACCGAGCTTCCACTTACGAACAGAAACAGGCAGGGGAAAAAGGTGGGCAATTCAGATTTCTAACTGTAGATGGCGACGAGGCTGCTTTGTACTGTAGCTCTTTCACTTTCAGCAGTTAGACAGTGTGTCATTGTGGTCAGAGGCTTGGGAAAGCCGCCTTCTGCTTTGGAATGAGCGTGTGGGTGTGGGTGGGTGTCTGCAGGAAGGTAAGCTGCTGTTTTCTCCTTTTAAAAAACTGTTCTGGGTGGGTTTTGGCTGGGGTGGGTATGTTTCTGTGCTGTGTTGTTGGTGGCTTTAGTGTTTGTTTTGGAGGTTTCTTCTTCTTCTTAAACCTCAGCAACGGAGCGCCTTCCAACCGGGCTTGCTGTGTTCTCAATTTTTTTGGTGATTTTTTTTTCCTTCGGCCAGAATGGATTAATTGGTTTTCAATGCATTCCTATGGGAAATGGTGCTTCAACTTATGAACATTTCTACTTACGAACACCGTTCCAATACAGATTAAGTTCGTAAATCAAGGCACCACTGTATTTCATTGGTGTTACACTGGTGAATATTCTGTAGTGCTGCAGTGCAATTTCTCAGTAGCATATTTGGCAGGGAGAGAGAAAAAATGGCCAAGTTAGAACAGGATTGGCAGTTCTGGAGTAGCTGAGACATTTTTCACTTTCTGCATTGTTATCCTCCATTTACTCTATAATCTAACATACATGAATTCTTGCATGACTACAATTCTGAACTTTACAAATGTACATGAGAAAACCAAAACGATTTTTTAAATACCTCAGATAATTTATTTTCAAAAAGGGAATGTATGATGACTGCATTTACTAGCCAGAAACCTTTTGATAATTTCCATGTACACAAGATAAACTGCATAACTCACTCTGACAAATTGCTGCTAATTGATACGGAAAGCACCAGTTTCATTACTAGCTGCTACTTATTGCTCAATCAGGCACATGCCATGTAATACCACAGCACCTCATTAGGTTAATAACAATTTGCCACAGGGTCATGAAATCTGATTTGTGTAAATCATCAACAGGATTCTGTCAAATTCTAATTGCACTTTTCTTGCACAACACTAGTGTAAATTAGAAAGCTGGCCTTTCTGAGCAACAGATCTCTCCTGATCCTTGAAGGATCAGGAGATATTAGAAAAACATTCATTATGGCTATTCTGAAACCTTCTTAGCAATAGACTGGAAAACATAAAAAGAAACACTGATTCCAAATAGAAAGAAACCTATAAATGCTGCTAGAATATGGTTAATCTTCCCTTTGTGGGGAAGATTCCTCCCCCCCCCCGTGGGATCTTCCCTCCCTTGTGGGGAAGATCAAAACAGTACAGCAACAACATCTGTAAATACTGTTAGTTCACATCATAATATGAAACACTATTTAGAACATAGTAGTTTTTATTATTTATCATTATCTAATATGATAGCAAAGATATCAGTGGATTGGTCTGCAGGACTGTATAGAAAAACACCACACCAGCAAGTACTAATGCCTTTTCTTTCAGCACTTCTTTCAGCTGAATGGCAAAAATGACTTACTATATACAAGCCCAATGATCTACTCTTTTTCAACATAAAAAAGGATCAACATACTTTGCCAAATGTGGCGTCTCAGCTTTTTAAAACCAATAGCATTTCTGAAAACATACCCTTTGCAATGTTGCTGGACTCTACATTTTGAATATTTATGTTATAAACAGACAAAGGCCATAAAAATTCAATTTCTTATTCAGATGTCATGTACATTTCTCTACAGATAGTCATCAATCCTCAGATTTTTATTTTGGGTGGAATGAAGATCACCTTATAGAGTAATAACCTAAACTGTAAGTTAAGAAGGCTATCGTACAGAGATGTTCAAGATGACAGCAACAAAACAAATACCTACCATAATAGTAGTTTTAAACATTCTTCAGGAAGTACTTTTTAACAATAAAAACCACTGAATATTCTGATGCAGCAACACAGCAATATCAGTATGGCATTTTTCCAATTGATGCCAGGATATTTTCTCTCTCTTCTGCTGTAGGCATAGCTGGCTGAATTCCATCTCTTCTTCTCTGTGCCATGATCTTGCTCTAGAAATACAAAGAACCTGTGTGTTACCAATTGTAATCAAATTCATTAACAACAATATAACTATTAACACGTTTTAGTGAATAGACTTCCAAGCTATCTCCAGCAATTCAAATTTATACTACTGACAAATTTTTCTCACTTGCTCTATAACAATGGATTGAAAACTTGTCATTACAGTGGGGTCTCGACTTATGAACGGCTCGACATACGAACATTTCGACTTACGAACCACTGTCATAGGAATATATGGACTCGACTTACGGACTTAGATTCGAGTTACGAACTCTTTTTTCCCTTTTTTTAAAGCTAAGTCATCTTAGAAGGAAAAAAAGAAAAAATATCCCCCTCTAGTGGCAGAAGGCGGAATAGCAGCTTCCCATCAGTTTCTATGGACGAAAAGAGCAGATACGGATTAAATGGTTTTCAATGCATTCCTATGGGAAATGCAGATTCAACTTAAGAACTTTTCGACCTGAGAACTGCCTTCCAATACGGATTAAGTTCGTAAGTCGAGACCCCACTGTATATCCGAGTAACCAGATAAAAACAGATAAACTATCAAATACAGCGTGATCATAAACAGTAATATATTTGTTAATTAAAAACAGTAATTTCTTGCTGAAATCAAACTTGATTAGGATCAATAAAAAAACTCATACTAAAACAGCATTTTTTTTCTTTGAGGTTTTTGTTTGTTTGTTTTTCTTTTGAGCACTAGGCACTACACCAGTGGCTCCCAACTTTGGGTAACCCAGGTATTTTGGTAACCAGAAATACCAGTCAACACAGCTGGTGCTGAAGGTTGCTGAGAATTGCAGTCCAACAACATCTGGGTTACCTAGTGTTGAGAACCACAGCACTAGACCCATCAACATGAAAAATACAAATTTAGCATTAAGTAGGTCAAAGACAAATAATATTGATAAATGAAGCAGAATACAAATTTAGTGAAGTTTTACTATTTGTACCAGGAATGGCTACTTGACAATCTGCAGATGGAAGTTAGTCTTGAAATGATTTCTTACAGAAATATAAAGCAGGAATCTTTGCACTTCCTAGAAATACTTGGGGAACACCATACTGTACTGTACTTTGACTTGCTGCTCTTCAAGCATATGCGGACATTTGCTTCACTACTTAGACAACGGTCAGCAATGTGACGGGGTAATTAAGTCCCAACTTCAAATGTCTGCCACTGCTTTCGTATGTCAGGTTGTGGAATTACTATATGGAAAAAGAGCAGAACTGTGTAGTGGCTTGAGCAGTGTAGTATAATATCTAGCTATGTCTACCAGCTAACTTACCGTCTCAAACAAAATCAACTAGATAGTAGTTGTAGGTTTTCCGGGCTGTTTGACCATGTTCTGGAGGTTTTTCAGAACATGGTCATACCTCCAGAACACGGCCAAACAGCCCGGAAAACCTACAACAACTATCAAAGCCCAGCCATTAAAGTCTTAGAGAATACAAAATAAACTAGGTCTGATTTGATCTCCAGTAATTCCTGATCTATGCCACAACATTTGTACTATTCTATAAAATCAAATCTATACACAAGTTCAGGAAACTGGATTATCCAAAACCCATCATAATGCGTTGGCTAGATGGTGCCTACTATTTCAATTTTGTTGAATTAGCTTATACTATTTTATATAGCAGAAACCATTTCGAACTATTCTGAAGCTCTTTTCTTGCTTGTGCCTTGTCCTTTGATCTTTAGATATAAAGCATGACATGCACATTTTAATAAATAAAGTGGTGCCTTGACTTACAAACGCCCCCTACCTACGAACATTTCAACGTATGAACAGCTCCAGTTGCAAAATTTTGCTTCTACTTGCAAATGGAGCTTCAACATACAAACTGAAAAAGGGAGGGGAAAAGGCCAGGAAATTCAAACCGTTGGTGGCGAAGAGGCTGCTTCTTTGTAACTCTTTTGCCTCATCAGCCTCCCTGAGGCCTCCCGGCAGTGGCGGAAGCCCAGGCCGGGTAGTGGCGGTGGAGGTAAGGTGCTGCTTTTAAAAAACTGTTTTGGGTAGCTTTTGCAGGGTGAAATTGGGCTGGTGGGGTTATGTTTTGATTTGTTTTTTTTTTTGAAGCCCCAGGGGCTTGCAGAGTTTTATTTTTATTTTTATTTTGGTGTTTTGTTTTTTTTTTTAATGCTGGAATGGATTAATCCCATTCCTATGCATTTCAACGGGAAATGGTGCTTTGACTTACGAGCATTTCCACTTATGAATATCTTCTGGGACAGATAATTTTGTAAGTCGAGGGACCACTGTAAATGATTATATTCATATACAGTGGTGCCTTGACTTATGAACGCCCTGACCTATGAATGTTTGAGTTACGGACAGCTCCGGATGTGAAATACTGCTTTGAGTTACAAACGGAGCTTTGACCTGCGAACGGAAAAGGGCAGGGGAAAAGGGCAGGAAATTCAAAAACCTAACCGTTGGTCGCGAAGAGACTGCTTCTTTGTAGCTCTTTCACCCCAATGGTTAGGGAAAGGGAGTTTGAGCCTCCCAGGTTTCCAGTGCTGCCACCATCGCTGCCTTCGGAGGTCTCCCAGGGCTTACCCGCTGCCATGGGAGACTTCCCGGGGGTCCCCCGCCGCCGCCCGCTGCCTTCAGGCTTTCCTGATGGGCAGACTGGGCCTTCCACAGGAAGCCCTCCCTGTTAGGCCCGGTCTACCGGGGGGGGGCTTCCCCTGGTAGGCCTGGTCTACCCCCAGGAAGGCCTGAAGGCGGCGATCGGCGGGGGACCCCTGGGAGGCTTTTTTTCTTTTAAAAAAGTTGTTCTGGGTGGGTTTTGGAGGGTAGTTTTGGGCTGGGGGGGCATGTTTCTGTGCTTTGTTGTTGTTGTTGTTTTGCAGTCCCAGCATGGGACTTGCAGTGTTTTATTTTTATTTTGGTATTTTTTTTCTTCGGCCAGAATGGATTAATCGGTTTTCAATGCATTCCTATGGGAAATGGTGCCCTGACTTACGAACGTTTTGACTTACAGTCACCGTTCCAATATGGATTAAGTTCGTAAGTCAAGGCACCACTGTACTCACAGTAGTTTAAAACTCATTTTTGAGTATCAGCAACAAACTGTAAACATAAACCTTATTCTCCAGGAGGCAGCCCACTGCATCAAAAATTATGGAATCCAGTGGCATCCTTAAGATTTATTTATGTTTTATTTAGCATAAGCTTTCGTGAACTGTAGTCCACATCTTCAGATACAGGGTGTGTAACTTCTCTAGACAGATACTTGCATAGTAATGAGATCACCTCCTGTTATTTAACAACCACTCACCACATGATACATTTCCATTACATTCTATACTCCTAGTCTCCAATTACTGTATAAATGTCCATCTACGGATGCTGTACTTCTGCAGCTGAACATGTGACATAAAAATAAAACTTGCCAGTGTTGAAGATGTCAAAGAATGCTTTAAGTTACAGAACAAAATGCAGGCTGACCTGGCATGTATAGCAGAGACCTGGGTGGACACTGAGGGAGTGGTAGCTCTCTCTCAGATCTGTCCCCCAGGCTATTAAATCCAACATCTTCGCTATGTGAATACTTCGTTAAACGGAACAAAAAAAGCCAACGATGTTTAATGCGTTCCAAATCGGCTGAAAGCTCACCGTTTAACGAAGCCTTCCCATAGCCGGCAGCCATTTTCGTGCCCTCCCCTCGCTTAACGAGGGCGCGAAAACACTGCGCGCGGCCATTTCGGCTGTTGCGGCGGCCATTTTGGACCCGATGAACAGCTGATCCGCGGGTCGCAAAGCGAAGGTCGGTAAGCAAAACGCTCACCGACCTTCGCTATACGAGTTTCGCCCATTGGGGCCATCACTTTGCGATTGCAGTTGCGATCGAAAAAAACCCCTCACTATGCAATTTCGTCGCTCATTAAGCGAGGCACCACTGCAGAAGCAAAATTTGGCAGCCGGAGCTGGTCGTAACTCAAAATGGTCATAAGTAGGGATGGTCATAAATCAAGGCACCACTGTACATCTACATTTGACCATATTTCACCTGTCCTGGCTCGCTTGCACTGGCTGCCAGAATGCTTCTGGGCCAAATTCAAGGTATCAATACTAACTTATAAAGCCCTTTATGGTTTAGGACCTTGCTACCTGTCAGAGTGCCTCTCCCTCAGGTTATCTTCCCATCCCACCCACACCTCCCAATCTTTAATGTTGTGGGTGGCCACTCCAAAAGTGGCCCAGAAGACATCAACCAGAAACTGGGCCTTTTGAGTAGTGGCCACTCTGCTCTGGAACTCTCTTCCTGTGGAAATGCAACTGGCCCCCACCCTCTTGAGCTTCTGCAAGCACATTAAAACCTGGCTTTTTACCCAGGCCTTTCCAAGCACCACCCTTTTGTAAAATTATGCTGGCCCGTTGTCTACCATCTTATGTCTCAGATGGATGCTTTTATTGGGGGATAATAAAATATTAGTTTTCTTTTAATATGTTTTGCATATTTTATATAGTTTTAATAATATTTTGTAAGCCACCCAGAGTAGTGGTATGTCCACTAAATGGGTAAGGTATAAATCTAAATAAATAAATAAATAAATAAGTATTCCATAAATGTGCATAAGTGGGGGGGAAAATACTACAAACATTGCAGTGAGAATGTATGAAAAGCACTGCAAATCTACTTACCCAAAATATTCTACAGTTTCTGTACCTAAGAAAACACGGGGCACACATATCCTTACTATAGTTAGTCTTGATCAGACATTTGTTAGAAGCATCTGATTCCTTGAATACAAAAAGAGATCACAGTTAAAGAGTCAACAAAGATACAAGGCTTTATTTTCTAAGTTTTTAAAACTGCTATCTACACTAGTTGAAACACTGATCGAGAGCTTGGAACATTACATTTCAAATGTGTTTGTTGTGTTACTCACTGCTTCAGGACAGTCCTTAGTTACCCCAAGCAAGCAAGTAATTTGTAGCACTGTATGTGTTATGCTGCCACTGCCAACATGTCTGAAACATACAGTATAGGGAAATACTCATTGGTCCCCTCAGTGGCCTATGTTGATAACACACGTCACAAATATGTATAAAAAGACAAAAAAGGGGGAAATACTTTCTTTATCAGCACTTAAGGACTGATGTCAAAATGGCATAAAGCTTGAAAAAATTATGTAAACTTTCCTCTAAAAATGCTCTCAAAAAGTATATTTTGAAAGCAACTACAATGCACTGAAAACTTGTTTCACTGCTACTTTTACTGTAAATGTGTAGGCCATTCCTTATAATCATATTATTTGTAATCAGTTACTTCAAAGCTCTCCATAGGCATTGTGATCATACAGACTGAAAAGTGAAAAAATATTACACTGAATTCTGTATTCCTTATACTGTATCTTCTTCCTCAGAAGACTGCTCTGCGCCAGCACCTCAAGTATACTTAGAATAAGGCATGTTATGCTGCATTCAGTAGGACGCGTGTCTAAGCAAACTTACCAGGAAAAATGACTATGTATCATACTAACAGCTTTCAAGATTTATATGCCAAACTCAAAGAATCAGCTGCTTAGCTTAACCATCTATGTGAAGCTCAAAAACGCACATGTAACAGACAGGCTATAGTAACGGGAGACGTTGGACCTTTCAACAGGACAATGATCCCAAGCATACCTCCAAGTCCACTAGAGCATGGTTGCAGAGGAAAGGCTGGAACATTTTGGAGTGGCCATCGCAGTCACCAGACTTAAATCCGATTGAGAACCTCTGGTGGTACTTAAAGAAAGCAGTTGCAGTGCGCAAGCCTAAGAATTTGACTGAACTGGAGGCTTTTGCCCATGAAGAATGGGTGAAGATACCCGTAGATCGCTGCAAGACACTTGTGTCATGCTATGCTTCACGTTTAAAAGCTGTTATAACTGTAAAAGGATGTTGTACTAAGTACTAAGATTGAATGTCACTTGGGGGTTGAATAAAAACTAATAATGATGTGAGCACAGAAAAGACATTTGTGGTTATTTCATTATAAACTTAAGGTTATATTTCTCTGACCTACAAGTGCCTCTTTCATGTAAATGTAAGCAAGATGACTGAATGATCAAAATCAATGTCAAAATGGCCAAAACATTCAATTTCAGTGGGGGTTGAATAATTTTGAACACAACTGTAAGTAAGTTCCAAAACCAGTCTCATTGTAAGCTTTCAAAACCAGTCTTAGTATTTAAAAAACTGACCAGGTTACCTACCTAGCTCCCCATTACTTTCGTAAAATACATAGAACACTTTCTTACTTTACAGTATATCATGCTCAAGATGCCACTGCTAGCAGGAATACCTTTCAGAGCCACTATGACATCAATTCTGAATAAACTGCATCAGTTACCAATATGCTTCCAGTAAGAGCTCAAGGTTCACCCTTGGCACTTATATACTTCAGGGCATACCTCTTCCTACATGAACTTGCCCAATCACAAAGATCTGCAGGGTGGGAGGCTACTTTATGCCCCACCAGACAGAATGATTCAGTATGAGGAACATGGAGGCTTTTCTCAGCTGCATCTGTTCCATTGTGGAGCACTTTCCCCTTAGAAGACTGAATATTAACCTCATGTTGGTGCCGTTAATATATTAGAAATTACATTCAACACACTAAATTAAAATTTCAGAAAAATAAAGAAAAAAATTACAAAAATCACATAAATGTACGTACTTTTCTCAGTGACTATAAAGTTAAAGGGAGGAAGAAAAATCTGGACTAGATAATTCTAATTGTTCATAAAACCTAAGTAAAAACATCAACAGAAATGTCCTCTTGTGAGCAAGTAGCACCATGGCACTGTGAACAATGGGATAAATTTCATTGGAATTGGATCAGTAACCCCAGTATCAAAAACACATACCATTTGGATTGCTTTTTCAAATTAAAAGATTCATGAAATTTCAACTGAAATAATTAGCATCTTATGCATTCTGGCTCAGAACAAAATGTAATGCTGAAGTACTTAAAAAGCCCAACTGCAAAAAGACTAGCAGGATCTCTGCAAAAGGAAGCTCTTTGAAAGTTTATTACTAGAGTTCTTTGAAAATCTCATTAAACATCATCCAACGGACAATGGCCAAAATCCTGTTGTTTAGTGCAATCAATCATAGAAGAATAGGCCCACTGAACCAACAGATTTCGTGAGTCAACTCTCCGTACATTTCATTGATTCAAATGGGCCTATTCTAAATGCAACTTATTTCAGCATAGTAAACTGCAGTTAGAATTGCCCAATTTGACACAATGGAACTGATGGAGTACTGTATTTGCCGGCGTATAAGAAGAGTTTTTTGCCCTGAAAAACATGCCTCCAAGTGGGGGGGGTTCTTCTTATACTGCGGGTGCACCCAGAGGAGGCAGCATGTAGCGCAAGGAGAAAAGAGGAGAAGTGAACGAGGAAGAGGAGGACGCAGCGGGTGGCTCCGGCTCTCAGGCGCCCAGCAGGAAGCAGCATGGAGAGGCGAGCCCAGCCCAGGAAGCGAGTGGAGCTCGGTCCCCACCAGCTCAGTCACTTCCTCGACACAGTTGCCCTCCCAGAAAGCAGCAGCAGTGCTGCCTCTTTCTTCCCTGTGACCTACCAAGTCTCCTTGGGAGCCTGGCACGGTGGCGCTGATGATGAGCAGGGCGGGGCTGGCTTGTCGCAGGCGCCGTTTGCTTGCCAGCTTCTCTCTTGCTTGCTTGCTAATCTGTTGCAGCAAGCAAGCAAGAGAGAAGCTGGCAAGCAAACGGCACCTGCGACAAGCCAGCGCCGCCCCACTCGTCGCCAGCACCACCGCCGCACCAGGCTCCCGAGGAGACTTCCAGAGGCTGGGTGAGCGAGCAGGCACTGGCCTCTGCCTTGAGCCAGCTGGTAGCCCACCCCAGAAACTTGCTTTCTTTCTCCTCCCTCTTTGGCCCTTCCGGCAGGGTAAAAGGCAGAGGGAGGGGATAGTCTTATACGGCGAGTATGTAACGAATGCTAGATTTTGAGTGGAAATGTTGGGGTCGTCTTGTACACCCAGTCGTCTTATACGCCTGCAAATATGGTACTTGACATATCAAATTCCCATTAATTCAATGGGCCTACTCTAGTGCTAGAGTAAACAGGATTTTGGTTATTGTTTACTTAGTCTTCTAAAAGGCTTTTGGCAGGGTCCTTCAGTAAAGTCTCTTGATCAAACTTCTCAGCCATGGAATATATGCTATTATAATCTGGAAACTTTTAAGCACAGAGTTGAAAGCAGGAATAAATGGCAATGGAGGAACATGAAAGTGAGATCAGGCAAGTATCTGTATTGTTATATCTAAGGGAAGTTTTAAATCTGTTCATAAATTACTTAAAGTTAGCAGTCGGATGGCTATGCTTGCCAGTGATGCCAAATTTAGGGAGTTCTGAACAAAAATAGATTGTAAAAGGACAAAACAGAACTCTCCAAATTAGGTGGGATGGGGTGTAAAATGACAAAAGCGATTCAATATAAACAACTGTAAAGTGTTGGTATAGGACTAAAAATCTTCAGTATCACATATATACTACTGAGATATTAGTAAGCCAAGAAAGGAATATTTGGGCTATGGTACACAGCTTGATTAAAATGTCAACCTGATATGCAGCTGCCTTAAGAAATGCAGATTCCTTAGTGAGCAAAATGAGAAAAATAAATTTTTGAAAATAGAACTTCCAGTACCATAGGAGTTATCTTATTTCTGTTGCACATGCTGACCAATTTGCTAAATGATTCCATCATATGATTTTCTACTATTTATGATAAGGCTGTAGCTACTGCCAAGAGAATGCCAGTGTAACAATCAAATCAAATGACCTGTTATTAGACTGGAAAACTGCAAATTTACAATATTAACTCAACAGCATGACTTCTGCCATTATTCAAATCTAAGTTGGTCCAAACCTAGAAATACTAGGGCACTGCAGCTGAAAAGATTTGCTGTAGAGTTGCAAAAAAGAAAAAAGAAAGAAAATGACAATCTGACTGATCTCAGGGCTGCAGTATAGGTAGCCTTTGAAAGTCCTAATTTCTGTAAAGGAAAGTCTGCAATGTCTGGAACTATTTCGGATGGAAAAATGGTGAGTACAGAAGCCACTATATAGGGTTCTTATGTATGTATAGTGTGCAGAATGTGGGTAGGAAACCTGTCCCTTATACTACTAGAACTGGGTGATGATCTACTGAAGGTGAAGTGGGGGAGTGTGGAATTCATTGCCAAATGATGTAGTGATGAATGCAAACTTGGTTAGACGTAAGGAGATAGGACACTGAGATTACTGGAGACTTCTATTCACAATGGATACTAGAGATGGGCACAAACTGCTGGTCCAGCAGGTGTTTCATGGTTCTGAGCCCTGCTTCCACTGGCAAGCGCCCACTCTGAGACAGCACCTGGAGGAAGCAGGCCAGGGAAGCCAGGGCACTGCCTCTGACCAGAAATCTGCCAGAGAAGGTAGAGCTCAGAATCATAGAACAATTATTGGACAAACTGGTGGCTGACGCCCCTCTCTAAAGGACATACATTCCGTACAGCAACAGAGGTAATATAAACTGGCTGCTGAAAAACACAGGAACAATGCATTGATGCATCCATGCAATTATTTTGCCGTTGTGTGAACAGGATACTGTTCAAGCTATTGTTTTGGTCTGATTAAGCATGGCTATTTTGTTCTCACATTCTCTGAAATATTTACTGGATTCTAAACCAGTTTTACACAAATTACATTTCTGAAAGGCACTATTCTTTTTATTAAAGCACCTGCTTAATCTAACAAGTCAAATTAACTAGTATTTCTGACTTTTCTTAATAATGTTAAAGTGCAATTTGGACACATGTGCAATACATCCACTTCTACTCAGTAGTTAGGTATCTCATACTTTGAAGCAGACTTTTGAAAATAACTTCTAGGATGATTTGAACCAAGGACGTCATCCTATAAGATATCTAGCTATGGATGGCCACAACATGTTATTAACTACATTTTTCTCACAAGAGTCCTTGCAAGTTCCAATTAAAATTTGTCAGATGAAATTACACTGACACCCACTTTAACAGAAATGAAAAGCTTGGACTGTTATACAAGTGTATATCATGTATTATCCAAATGGTTGATTTTTTCAATAATTAATTCAAACAGTAGATAAAAGAAATTTTAAAGAAAAATTATTTAAAATACTTATATGTTGCCTTTCTTCTGAAGAGGACTCAAGGTGACTTACAATATTTAAAACAAACAATTAAAAAATGGAAAGGGAAGAGAAATATATGAATATTCACAAACTATCTGGGACTAGCTTTACTCAGCCATGCACAGGTAAGGTAACCCTTCCAATATGATTGATGGTGGAAAAACAATTTTTTATTCTGAAAAAACTCTAAATATGAAAACATTTCATTTTAAAATTCCCATTAATTACAGTTTTACAACATGTTGAAACAGACATCAAGCTTTAAATAACACATTCCAACCGCCCTCACCATTCTTTCAGAATCCATTATGCAAATACGGTAAGCCTATTTATTTCAAAGGAAAAACATGCCTGTTGCAGAGACTATGCTACACAGTCTCTGCAAATGAATCGATAAACAACAAAAACTCAGCTTCTTACCGGCAAACAGGGGTTTGTATCAGGATCAAGAAATCTTTGCGGTTTTTTGGACATGGGTTGGGTTACGTTTCTTTTTTTAAAAAACTGCAGCTGAAAGACAAGAAATAGATTTTTTGAGGAGAAGCTAAAAAAGAATAGCTTCCATTTTAGCAATAATTCTGGCATTTTCTACAACATGTGTTAGCCACAATACATTTAACTAAAAAGGACAGGGCATAAGTGAGTCCTCACATAACCTTTAAGTTCAGTATTTAATATTAGTCACTGTTGCTAGCTCTAAAAATTTGATTTGCATTCAAATGATGGAGTTCCAGAAACCATCCTAGGTTGGTCGTATCTACAGGAGTACCATCAGTTAAACGGGCTAATAGTTTATATCTTTATATATATACATATAAGTCTCAGTCAGGGAATTTGGTTAGCATGATGAAAAGGCAGCGCAAATCCCCCATTTTCCACAGTTTTAAATTTGGAACAACATGGGAGTATTTGTTATGAAATACCTGACAGAACCATTTTAAATCAATGTTCTAAAATATACTGTTGCACAGTCCATTCACATTCTGGCAAACCTCTTTCCTTCAGGACTCAAGGCAGTAACATTGAGTGCTGCAACTGGTTAAGTTCAAATATGTACATAATGAATTATTTTAATCATAGTTTGAAATGCCAAATACATAAAACACAATTTGTTGCTTTTATTTTATTGTTCTGACTTAGAGATTTAAGATTTATTAATAGTTTCATTCTACAATGACAAAAATACTTGCAGAACCCCAATTTTCATCCTTGTACACAGGTCAAATAAAACAATGTGATTCTGCTTCAATGAAATGTTATCTTGGTACCACAGATTGCCACACCAACAATTTCCATTTTTCTGCTAGTTTAATATTAGATACAATTCCCTCATGGGGAGAAAGGCAACGAACAAAATAAATAAATCTCCACCAAGTTACTAATCTGCTTACATTTTCCATTTCCTTAACACTGACAAGCTCATCTCTGTCTTCATGGTGCAGCTGCTTCTTCACATATGACAACAGCTGTGCCTGTGGCATGTGAACTTTGCTATGGCAGAAAATCCATTTTGATAACCTTTTGTAGCTCATTTGGCAACCGATAAAGGTTCTACAACCCATGGCTTTACAAGTTTATATACCACTAAAACATTCAACTACATTACCGAATGAGCAATATTTTCACAATTTTCTATGTCATATTTTCAAATGACATAGACTGCAAGTATCTTTACATGTAATTTATTTATTAATTGCATTTATACTCCACCCATCTAGTCAATTGACTACTCTGGGTGGCTTCCAACATATATAATAAAACAATATAAAACATAACATTATAAGCATCAATAATCAAATTATTCAAGTTGGAAAGAGATAAGAGAAAGCAAATCAATTACTTTTTGGTCCAAGAGTGCAATCGAGGAGGAAGGTGGCAAGATTTCAATGTAGTGGAACCTTAAGTACTTTTCACATGCCTCAAATTCAATTTTTTTTCTTCAAATAAAACATTTGTACTCTCTGCAGGTGCAAACAAAAGGTTAAAGCACAAAAATATCTATTAAAAAATTCTAAATCATGCAAAACTTTGAAATGTAAATGAACATCTAGAATGAAAAACAACCAATGTTCGACATGCTGGTTCCATCTGAAAAACTCTAGTCTTACTATTATTACAATGATAAGCACATGTTTCCTGTCAGTCCTCATAGCTTGCATTCTGCTGTGCTAAACTACAGCTTAATGCAGGGGTCCATAACTTTTCAGCCCCAATAATTATATCTACTGCAAGCTGGAGTGCACACATGCATGGATACCCAACCCTCAATCTACATTGTGTATATCACTCAATGTAACAACAAATTATTTTAACATTTTATTCTAAAACGTTATTTTAACATTGTCCTCCAACACTGTACCTCACCCTTCTCTTCAATTTAATGTTAGCTCCACTTCACTATTTTAACAACATTTTTCTTCCAACATTTTCTTACTTTTCCACCCTCTTTTTCAAATGAAGAATATACTCACTTCACTCTCCCGTCAAGAGTAGCAAACTGTACTTTCAGGAACATAACTATACAGCAGCAATGGGCAAAGGACATCCTAAAAGGTTCCCTGGTTTCTAGCATACAAAAGACAGACCCTCTGAAATCAGCTGTCAGAATAACTTTCTGGATACAGATACAGTGGTGCCTCACAAGACTATGTTAATTTGTTCCATGAAAATCGCTGTTAAGCGAACACATTGGCTTGCGAAACACGTTTTCCCATTGAAATGCATTGAAAACCTGATAATCCATTCCAATGGGAACAGATTGTCATTGTAAAGCGAAAATTGCCATAGGAAACATCGTTAAGCGAAACGCGGTTCCCAAGCGAAGACAGCCATCTAACGAAACAGAGACCATTAAGACTCGTATAGCGAAGCAAGACCAAGCTGTCAAAAACATCGTAAAGCGAAAAATAGGGACCAAAAATTTAACCGTCTTGCGAGGCAAGGACCCTGACATTGTAAAGCGAAGATCGCCCATAGGAAACATCATTAAACGAAGCGCAAGATCGCTCTGAAAACCTCATTGTAAAGCGAATTCGTTGTCACGCGAAGCAATAGTCTTGCGAGGCACCACTGTATTGCCAATGCCCAGCATCAAATGGGAAGGACTTTCCCACTGTATTTGCCAAATGACAATGTGTTCACCAAATTCAATTGTGAATAGAACAGCCAAAGCCCACCCAAAAACAACATTCTGCTAATTGTTTTTTCCCAAATACCCTTATAGTGATGGGTTATGCCAATGCAGAATAAGACATCAAGCAAAGGATCTGGGATACTGTATATTACTTCGAGAACATTTAGGTTCACTTGACAAATCCAGTGTTGTTATACTTCCCCCTCCTATATGACCAGTATAACACCAACTAAATCGAGAAGAGCTTTTACTTTAGCCAGATTTAACGTGTTGCCTTTTAATCTCCTGGAAGGGAGATTTCAAGGGGTACCCTGTTCTGATCATCTATATCCTTATGATGGTGGTGAAGTAGAAACAGGGGCATGTCCTCTTATACTATCATTTCCCTCGCTACCACAACAGCTTGCCACAGTCTCCTGACCACATATTTATTTATTTATTTATTTTATTTATATCCCGCCTATCTAGTCGCGAAGACTACTCTAGGCGGCTTACAACAAAGTTAAAATACAATAAAAATAAAACAACAAATTACAAAACAGGTAAAAGTAAAAAGACAATAAAAAAATTAAGAAAATCAAAAAACATAAGGTCTTTGAGTGCCCCTGCCCTTGTTAGAGAGATCTTGTTTAACTTACTTTCTAGGAGAGTTGGGGTGGCATACTGATAGTTATATGGGTCTCCTAATTTCATCCTATATCATATGACTGCTGTGATGTTTTTAAAAGCTTTTATATCCTTCAATGCCACTGGCTAACTCTGAACTTTTTAACTTTAATGTCATAAAACAGCCAGAGGGTGCATTGATGGTGTTATGCCTTGACCAATGTCTCTTGTATTATGTGATTTTATCTTCCTGGACACTGACCATTATAAATTATCATTATTATGGCTGCTAAAAATTTCTATCAGAGTATACCAGATACAAAGCAAGTATTTGGTTATCATACCGGGGATGGTAATGGGGGCTTGTATGATTCAATGAAGTAGTACAGATGTCTTAAAAAGTCAAGCTAAGCTTAAAAAAAAAAAGGCAAATTTAATGGCAAGGGTCATTGGAGTCCATAATACTTTAGAGAAGCTATGTGGGGCCTACAAGTTGTGCACCTCCAGTTTTAATGCAATGTTCAAGCAAAGCTTGCAGCTTTATGGTTAGCTATCAAAACCCCATCTCTACTATACATTTAAACCCATAATTTTTCCAAGGTAAGAGTGAAGGCTTCCACCTCCCATAATTGCAATAACAGTCTAAATATGGTATCACAGTACAGTACGTACAAATGCACAAAATAATTATAGTGTTTTCAAAACAAATGATTTTCAACTTCTCTGTAAACTTAAAAATACATGGCCAGTTTGGGAAGAAGTAGGTAGTCAGTATATATGAACATGAGGTAACATGTTTGTGGGCTATGAAAGCATCCATTCACCTTCATGACCCTATACATCGTATCATCTCTGGATAGCTTAATAAATATTCCTGAAAATGACAGCAACAAAGTGGCATCTCCCTAAATTACACTGCAGAAATTAAGAAAGCTTGAGAGCCCAGGAGTGGAATTGCCTAAGAAATGGCTAACAGCAGCAATTTTGCTAAGGCCAGCAATACCATTTACAATATTAATTAAGGTATTGTAAACAAAAGCTGGGACCCATTTTTTTCATTTCTAAAGGTAGAGCTCTCTGCTCTCCTTACAGTAAATGTCTCCCGTCTCCCCGCCTCAACTCTAGTAATAGAGACCTTACCCTACCGTCACCTGCTACGTTTATGTGTTAATTTCATTTTTCTTTTTCGCTGTTTACACGGATAGGGGGTCGGCTTCCAACCAAACCCTTCCGGGAAGCCCACAACCACGAAAGGGGCAGGTTGTCTCACATTTAAGTAAGATGCTTCCCACCCACCCCCACCCCACCCCAAATTCACTTTCAGAAAAGGGAAGAATTTCGCGGTCTGCAGCCACACCCACACAAGATGGGAAGCGCTGAGAGCAAACGGGAGCAAAAATCACTCCAGACGATAAGATAAGGCGACAGGAAGTGACAGGAGAGAGAGCACCGCTTTCTATTTAACATCGCCGCCGCCCCCACTACCACCACCACCACCAACCCGCCGCCCTTCGACTTCTGCCGCAATAAATCGGAAAGGGCTTCCACGCGGTCCAGACGGGACAAGCCGGCATCCAACCCGCGTGACGCCGAAGAAACGAACCCCCCCACACACACACACACACCAGGGGCACCGGAGTCGCTCTTGTTTCAGGGTCACGACGAAAGTCACCGAGCCAGGAAGGGCAACAAGGATACGAAAGACGAGGGGAAGGAGGGAGGGAGCGACGGAGCGAGCAAGCGGGGCCCGGGAGGCAGGCAGGCAGGGCAGAGTTTATGCCTCCCGGGCTGCAGCCAAGGGTCGCGGGGTGGGGGTGGGGGGCTTTCCTCAGCACCAAATTTCCCCGCCGCTGCCGCCTAGGTCTCCCCCGCTGGGAAAACGAGCCCGGGGCGCCTCTTGTCATTCGAGGGCTTCGACGGAGGGAGGCCGAAGAGTCCGCGCCCAAGTCACACACACACACCCCCGCCTAGAGGCAGCGGCGGCGGCTCCTCCACGGGAGACACTCACCTCCACCGAACGCGAACGACGCCAACCCACCGCGCTCCGAGACGCTGCCTCCAATTCGAAAGACGTCAGCGGTTCGGGCACTCGCCTTATAAGAAGCGCAGCCTACCCCATTTCTGGCCCCGCAGCCCGGCCGAAAGTGACAATACAGTCGTCCAATCATTCTCGCCGAAAACTTTGACGGGCAGCTCCGAGCTCGCCGCGGGGCTGGCCAATCCGCGCTCGGTTCCTCCCCGCCCTTCCCCGAGCGGCGTTTCCTCCTACCAACGAGACCCGCCGCGAGCGTCAAAGGCGCCACCGCCTGGGCGCGGCTAAGCGCCTGAGTGACAGGGGGAGGTGTCCAACCCGCGGCGCGTGTGGGCGGCTGGCGGTGTGGGCGCGGCGTGTGCGGCAGGCTGAGCTGCACCGCAGCGCATACACTACAATGGCTGCTGGAAAGAGGGGAAAGCAAACAATTTCCAGGCCCGCAGCGTCCAGCCCGAAATATGGGGAAAAAATTACAGAAAAATCGGAGAACCCTGTAAAAGGCGGGAAGAGCGCGCGGAAGGGATGCTGAGGCTCCCACGGTGAGTCAGCGGCTGGTTTGGGGTTCCGGAGCCGGGGGTCAGCAGGGAAATATTAGGGTTATTTAAATTCTGAAAGGGGAGGAGGAGGAGGAGGCGAAAGAGCGAAGGGGGGGGGGGGAATCAGAGAAGAGCGGAGCCGCCGTGAGGAAAGTTTGTGCGGGGCTTCTCTCCCTTCCTTCGCTCCTGGGAGCTCCGCTGCCCGCCTGCTGGGGGGTCCTGGAGCGCACCCTAAAACAGAAAGCCGCACTTTTCCCTCAGTCCCTCTGGCCGCAGTTTCCCTCCTCTCTCTTTTCTCGCCCTCCTCCTCGCTCGCCCCCCCTTCCTCCCTTCGCCTCTCTCTCTCTCTCTCTCTTCCACTTCCACTCAGAGAGACTGCAGAGCAGGGTCTTCCCCCGTCTCTCGTTTAGGAACCCGGGTTGGGGTGGTGGAAGAGAGAGAGAGAGAAACTTTGGGAGAAGTTCTTGCCCTTCTTTCCTACCCTCTTCTCTCTC